GTAAAAACTGTAGGTTCTCTTGATCTGCAGTGAGACACCTTGGCACTGATAACCATCTGACTGTTTTTCCTTTCTTCTCTCTGCCTTTCATTCTTTTCTCTCTCTAGTGCGGACAGAGAACCTGCAAGTGATGAAAAAAAAATCATGCTTCTGGCAGTCACCAAAGTTCATTCCATATTTTCCCGATGCATATTTTCCCAACACTCATTTCAACAGTAGGAACTTCGTTCTCATTTGGGTGTTCCTTACCACATTACTTACAATAGACTTCAGAGCTGCTCAAAAGAAGTTTCTGCAAGGATGGAAACATTCTGTAACTGCATTGTCCAATATACAGTAGCCACTACTTGGGGCCCTTGAGCACTTGAAATGTGGCTACTGTGTCAGAAGAACCATACTTAAAATTTTACATAATTTTTCATTCATTTTTTTAAAAGATTTTAATTATTTATTCCTGGGAGACACACAGAGAGAGGCAGAGGGAGAAGCAGGCTCCCTTCAGGGAGCCCAATGCAGGACTCAATCCCAGAATCCAGGGATCACGACACTCAACGACTGAGCCACCCAGGCGCCCCAGTATTTTACATAATTTTAATTAATTTAAGTTTAACCAGCTGCAGGTGACTGCAGGCCACACTGTGGAACAGCATTGTGGTAGAGCAGATACGTACCTCTTAGGCTTTCCTCTTCCTCTGCACCCTTCCAATCCAACTTCGGCTGGTTTTCTTTTTTTCTTTTTTCTTTTTTTATCGTAAGTGATCCAGGCACGCTTCAGCACCCCTCTCCTAGGCTCCTTGACAGAGAGGGAAGTAAGCAAACACTCCTCTGGTTGCCTTGCAATTTCTGCAGCTCTCAGACTCCACACGGAGGGTGGGAGGGTGTGTTGGGCAAGGCTTACTGAAATGTCAGGAGCGTGGTGAGAAAATTTCAGTTCCTCGCCAAGCGTTTTGTTTGTTGATGCAACAGGTTTTTCTGTGGCTCACCCCAAAATGGGGTGCCTGCAGTCTCAGGTGCGTGATATTTCCATTACAGCTTTAATGCACGTTTGAACTAACAGAAGTTAAGTTTGCTTGAAGGTACTACACGATGCTGAACCTTTAGGAGGAAGCCTGTGAAAATTGTGAAAATTGCAATTGCGTAACCAGAGAAGAACGTGAAGAGTCCTGGGTTTGCATGAAGGAAAGCAGAAAGAAAGCAGCTTGGGCTGGAGCTAAACCTCCAACGGAAGAAACACCGTATCTCCAGGACAGAATAATCTGACTGTGACCGCGGGTGATGCTGGCCAAGAGCCTGGATGAGGAAGATGGATGATTGGCAAAGGTGGATTTACTCAAAGAGGCTCCGGGGAGAAGGAGGGGACAAAGAATTTCCAGGGTGGAGAAAGTCAATTTCATACTTTTTAGCAAAAGTCAAAGGCAATTCATTATTGAGCCCTGAAAGGAGAAAGTGGATGGAAAGAGGATATGGCACACATGATGCTACGTACCCAGAAAAGGTCTGAGGCCGGAGGGCAGTTCATCCGTGTCAGGAGGACAAGACGGATGGGGCATGCCCATGACTGCGTGTCACGCAGACAGCACGTAAGGGAACAGTGGCCAGGTCTGGGGAAGAGCCCTTGGTTAAAAAAGTAAAAAGTGTCCCCTTCATTTATTCAGCCATCAAGCTGTTTTCATCTGCTCAGGCTGCTGCAACGAGATCCCTAGCCTAGGTGGCTTACACAACAGCAATTCATTTTCCTTAGGGTTCTGGAGGCTGGGTGCTGGCCGATTTGGTTGCTAGTGATGGCACTCTTCTGGCCTATGGGTGGCTCCCTTCTTTCTGTGTCCTCACTTGGCAGGGTGTGGTGAGGGAAGGAGGGGAGAGGGAGGGAGTAAAGGGGGGGTAGGGGAGGCATGAGGGAGGGAGGGAGGAAGAAAACTCTTTGTTCTCTCTTCTTATAAGGGAAGACCAGAGGGCACCTGGGTGGCTCAGTGGATTAAGTATTCACCTTTGTCTCAGGTCATGATCCTAGTGGGACTCGATCCTAGGGTCTTGAAATCGAGTGCTGCATCAGGGTCCTCGCTCAGCGGGGAGCCTGTTTCTCTTTCTGCCTCTCCCTCTGCCTGCCACTCCCCCTACTCGTGCTGTCTCTCTCTCTCTCTCTCTCTCTCTCTCTCTCTGTCAAATAAATAAAATCTTTAAAAAAATAAATAAGGGAAGACCAGAGCCCCACCTTCATGACCTCATATGACCCTCATTACCTCCCAAAGGCTCCATCTCCTGATACCATCTCCTGATACCATCACATTGGAGGTTAGTGCTTGAACACATGAATTTGGAGGGGGAGACAAATAATAGATACATAACACTGGCCATTCAACAAATGTTTTTTGAGCACCTACTAAGTGCTGGATAAAACCCTGTCTCTGCCTCAAGGAACTCAATGCAAACAGTGACCACCCAAAGGTGTAAGTGTTCTAGTAGAGAAAGTGCTGGGACAACACAATGATGAGGGACAGGCTCTCCCTGGGGGTGTATGGGTTAAGGGTATGAGACATCTGAGCAACAATTTTTCTTTTTCTTTTTTTCCTCTTTTTGTCTTTCTTCTTCCCTCCTTCCTCTCGCCATCTCTTTCCTTCTGACCTCATTCACCCAATCAAAAAAGTTTATTGAGTGTCTAGTAAGTCCTATTCTACTGCCTAAGGTTATGGCGCTCAATGAGTCAGACAAAAATACTTGACTTTGGTGACTACATTCTGGAAGAATAAGATAATAAATAATAAGCAACTAGGTAAACTATGACACAGTTTTACCAGATCATTATTTCTTTGCCTCAGGTTTATTTTTTTTAATTTTATTATTGAGGTATAGCTAACATATAATGTTCAGGTGCACAACATAGTAATTCAACAATTGTATACATTACAAGCATCTCTTGAAGGACTATGGAGGCATAGTCAGGGTGACTCTCAGACAGCTGACAGTACGTGCCAGGTCAGGGGGGTGGCAGGCACAGTGTGTTCTGACACTTGTGCTTATATGTTGTGTCATAGTATTAGGAATGATGGCACGAGCTAGGATTGGTCAGCAGGAGATGACCTCAGAGAGGCAGGTTGAGCCTGGAAGATGGAGATATGCCATGCTAAGGACTTTGAACCTGATCCCAAAGGAAATGGGAAGTCTGAGAGCTAGAGTAGGGTTTTTTGTTTGTTTGGTTTTTTTGTTTGTTTGTTTGTTTGTTTGGTTGGTTTTTTTTAAAGATTTTATTTACTTATTCAGAGGACAAACATTATATGTTCTCATTCATTTGGGGAATATAAACAGTGAAAGGAAATAGAAGGGAAGGGAGAAGCAATGGGTAGGAAATATCAGAAAGGGAGACAGAGCATGAAGACTCCTAACTCTGGGAAATGAACTAGGGGTGGTGGAAGGGGAGGAGGGCGGGGGTAGGGGTGAGTGGGTGACGGGCACTGAGGGGGGCACTTGACAGGATGAGCATTGGGTGTTATTCTGTATGTTGGCAAATTGAACACCAATAAAAAAATCATTATTTAAAAAAAAGATTTTATTTACTTATTCATGAGAGGCACACAGAGAGAGGCAGAGACACAGGCAGAGGAAGAAGTAGGCTCCCCGCAGGGAGCCCGATGTGGGACTCCATCCTAGGACCCCAGGGAGCCGAAGGAAGACACTCAACCATTGAGCCACCCAGGGGTCCTAGAGCAGGGTTTTAAACAAGAGACTATGCAGATCTATGTGTAGGAAGCTAGTGGGCATTGTGTTAGTCTTCTAGGGCTACCATAACAAAGTTCTATAGGCTGGGTGATTGGAACAACTGAAATGGATTTTCTTACAATCCTGGAGTCTGGAAGTCTGACATCAAGGTGTTGGCAGGTTCGGTCTCTTCGGAGGCCTCTCTTTTCAATTTGTAAATGGCCATCTTTTCCCTGTGTCTTCACACGGTCTTCCCTCTATTGGGATGCCTATGTCCAAATTTCCTCTTTTGTGAGGACACCAGTCCTATTGAATTAGAACCTACCCTAATGACCTCATTTTAACTTGTCACCTCCTTAAAGCCCTATCTCCAAATATGGATACATTGTGAGGTACTGGAAATTAGGACTTCAAAATAATGAATTTGAGCAGGGGCTGGGGCAGCAGGGGGCACAATTCAGGCCATCACAGGCATCTGAGCTGAAGGTAGCCTGGATAACAGAGACTGGTAAGTGGTGAGCCAGTTTAAAGCTCTTTCGAACAAACCCACTGTGATGGTGAAGACCTGATTTGGGGGGAGGGGCAGGGTAGGGACAGGGAGAAGGTGGTAGACTGGAGAGGCATTTGAGAGGAGGCTGCTGGCTAAAACTAAAGCAGGGAATTTACTAGAAGGGAGAAGTTTGGAACCCTTAACTCAGAATTCCTACCTTGTGTCAATAAATGTTTGACACATAAATGGGTATGGATGGAAGCCCATGAGTTCAGGATGTAATAGGAACAGCGACCACAACGTGGTGAGATCCAGCCAAGTGCTACTGAGATAGAAGTCTGACACTTACTGTAATAATTTCTTATTCCAGATCTCCTCACTCTGCTAATACCTTCTGCTTCTGTATGTGCCCCAGCACTTGATCATACACCTTCATCAGCTCCAAACCAAGGAGCCAGTCATATTTCCTAATGTTTCAAAGAAGAGATTGGTGACAGATCTGATTTTCAGGAACAGTTATCTAGAAAAATCATTGGAGGGATGTAGATGCAGTGAAAGTAATCCTTTGTTCCCTCTTAAACCTCATCATTCTTACATTGTATGTTCTTAGCATTACTGAGACTATTACTTTATGACATTTCTTATGTGATCTGCTTGTTTTCGACCCAACACCAGAGGCAACCCGACCAGATAGATCCCCGACTTCATTGAAAAATAGCTACCAAGCTGAGCAACTTCTAAAATGGAACTTCTAAAGCCTTCCCTTCCCTTTGAGCCATTGCCCTAAAATTGAACTCTTCTGCCTTTTTCTCCCCAGGGCTCCTTCCTGCTGCTGGGCCACTGCCACTGCTGTCTTCCTCCAAAACACTGCCTGACACCTAGAGCATGGCGCCACTAAGCATCAGGTAAGAGGGGAGAAGGCAATGAGGGTGAGTAGGGCAGAGTTCCCGCCTCCCAGGGGCACATGGTCTCATGAGAGAAAAGACAAGCACAGGATGTTGAAATGGGACTCTTGTCTCCATTTTGGCTGACATGCCAAGTCAAAAGAGGCAAGAGCAATGACATTGCACAGGGAGGTGTGTGGTTTCCCAGGCAGGACTGCAAAGGGGGGTGTTGGAAGCCAGATTTGAGGCCCCAGCTGACCACCAGCTGCAGCCGATATAAAACACTGGAGAGGGGTCCCCTGGGTGGCTCAGTCCGTTAAGCATCCATCACTTGATCTCAACTCAGGTCTTGATCTCAGAGTCATGCGTTCAAGCTGCACATTGAGCTCCATGCTGGGCATGGAACTTACTTCAAACAAAACAAAACAAAACAAAACAAAACAAAACACACTGGAGAGGCCAAGAGAGGGATCGGAGTTTAGACAGAGGACTTCTTTGAAGAGAAATATGCATTATGCATTGAGTTTTATCCCTCCATGGGGGTGGGGGTGGGTGGGTTGCTACCTTCTTTCCTCGGTCTGTGAGTTCTCAGGGGCCCAGAGTCTGGTTCAGGTACGTGAATTCTCATGGACAAGAGGCTGGCTAAGGCCACAGAGAAGAGAGCTGTATGGCTGTACTTGTGCTGAACTTGGGCCAAAGACGTATGTTCGCTGTGGACCAGAGGTGAGCATGTGAGAGAGAGAAACAGAGAGAGAGAGAGAGAGCCCTGGGGGATTATCATAGACCCTTCTGCCTGACTCATAGGCATGACAGGTGGGAAATATCCCCAGTTTTGGGGGGACAGGAGAGAGGTTCGGAGAAAGAGTTGGCTTCACATGTAAGCTGTGGCCAATGGCAGTTTACTCTGCCCCCCTCCCTGATTCTAACCTTGGGGAGGTCAAAGGTACAGCCGGTCAAGCGAGGGAAAGAGGGAAAGAGAAGAAGCCATCTGCACGGTTCCAGGGCCTGCCAGAAGGAGACGCAAACTGATAGAGAGGGACCTTTATGTTAAATGGACATTTGACTATGATGTGGGTTGGATGTTGGGAATGTATAATCTGAAAGAAGCAGGAAGTCATAGATTCTGCCTGAGATTTCGTCTGGGGGCAGGGAAAGAGCTAGCCCCTCCAGAGGGTGGGACCATTCTTTTAGGGTAAGGAGGCATTGTATTCTCATTGTGCCTAGTGAGTTCCCCTCTTTCCAGTACTGACTGTATGCACACACAATGATGAACTCAGCCAGAGTAACATGCATGTCTCTTGTTCCCTTAGTGCACAAGAGAACATGAGTGTAAAGACTCATCGGACACCTGCTATGTGCGGGACTCAGCTGAATCCATGAACTCCATGACAGCAGGTTTTGAGAATTTGACAAAGGGAGAATCACATAGGAGTGGAGTAGAAAAGAGGAAAGGCTTCCTGGAAGAGAGAGGATGGGGGTGGGTCCTGCAGAAGCCATCAGCCCTGGATGGGCAACCAATGGCCTGTGAGGCTCTCCTGACAGTGACCAGTGTTCTGGCACAACTTGGGGGAAGAGTGCTCCAATTTTGTGACAGCACAGAGTGTGCCAAAGGTCACATGAGTACGAGTCCATTAAATGAACTAGAATACAGTAGACAAGCTATAGGGACAGAAGGTAGATCAGTGTTTGCCTAGGGTTGAAGAAGTGCTAATGAGTGCAGGGGTTCTTTCTGGGATGATAACATTTTTTAAAATTTGATTGAGATGTCAGTTACCTTACATACACCAAATATATCGAAACCATTGAATTAGACACTTGAAATGGATGAATTGCTTGGTATGTGAATGCTATCTCAAAAAGGCTGTTAAAAAAAGAATCTAGTCACAGCACAATAAATATAGATGATACAATCTGTAGAGAATTCAGAATCTGGCAACACTAGACAACATGTCATTTAAGAATAGGTGGCAAAACTATAAAGAAATCAAGGGAATATAGTCAATAATATTGTAATAACTTTGTACGGTGACAGATGATTACTAGACTTTTTGTGGGGATACCGTAGGATATTGAATGTCACTTGTATGTCAGTAATAAAAAAAGAAATGAAAAGAATGATCCTGCAAATGTCAGGAGAGTATTTGTTCTTGGAGGCAGGAGGGCAACAGGTAAATGGGGGAGCACAGAAGTCAGTGGCCATCTAACAAACTCGACACAACTGAGTCTTACTGCAACTGGTGTTTTTGCAGGCACGATCTTTTTAAAAATAATTGTATGTCTCTTAGGAACAATCTTTTGAATGTATGACATGTCTTAAAATAAATAAATAGAAAATGAGAGGAGGAGGAGGAGACCAAACGAGAGACAGGACCAAAAGTTACCTGGCATTCATGGTGCAGAGTCCAGAGCACCAGGTGAGACGTTGCATTTAACAAAGACAATGGGGAACCACATGGAGAGTCAGTTGAGGGGATGGGAGTGGTAGGTTAAGAAAGGATTCAGGCTCTGTGAGCAGGGAGTTGCCTGGGGTGGGGAGAAGCCCCAGGGCAATGAGGAAGGGTCTAAGCAGGTGCAGTGGGCCCATGGAGGAGCTGTGCCACAGGAATAGTGTGAGGACCACCGTGCAGAAACTGATGATGTGAGAGTCAGGGATGAAAGATATCTGGGAGGATGAATGGCAGCATCATGGGCAGAGATAGGGAGTCAGGGAAGAGAGGCTGGAAGGAAGAGAAGATGAATAGTTTAGCTTTGGATATCCATGGAATATAAGAAACTATTATAAAATGAAGGATCTCAGGAGATTGCAACTATAACTTGGCAAATTGTAGGTTCCCGAGTAATTACTGGTCTAAGTTCTATCTGGGCCTTGTTCTTGGTTCCTTGAGGAACCTGCCTGTTCATTGTCGTTCCAATCCTCTCTGTATCCCAGTCCTCTCTGTATCTGCAGTCCCCACCTCCTACAAGTTCCCAAGATACAGAACAAGATGAGTCCCGTTGGTTTAGCCTGGGGCCTTGGCAGTGCAGATTTTGAGAGGATGCTTTTTTGCTTCCCAGCTCTGAAAACTCTCTCTGAATAAATTCTTCTTGGATGTCCCAGCTTCTTGCTCCCCTGGGAACCTTATCTGGCATAGCTTGTGAGAGGAGCAGAAATGAAGATCCCCAGGAGGAAAAGTCTCCTAAGGCTAGAAGCTGAAGGAAGAGCAGGCTCATCCAGTTCCAGGTAGGAGGAGCAGGTGTGCAGGTGCCGATGACAGTGTGAGTGAAGCTGACGGGGGGGGGGGGGGGGGCAAGGGGAAGCCAAAGGCCAGATTGTGCAAGCAGTTTGAACTTGATCATTCACCCTAAGGGTAACTAGCTATTGAAGGTTTTGAAGTAGGAAAGTGATACGATCAGTTTCTACTTGTGTCTAATGAGCATTTACTGTGTGCCAGGAATCTTTCCGTCTTTTCATATACACTGTCTAATCTTTTTAATAGTTCTGTGGGGCTGAATATGATCCATCCATCCATCCATCCATCCAATCATCTGTCTATCCATCCATCCACCCATCCATCCATCCAATCATCCATCCATCCATCCATCCAACCATTCATTCATCCATTCAATCCATCCAACATCTTTTTAAAAATTGAAGACAGCTTTGTGCTAGCCACTGTACTCATGTTCTTTTTTTTTTTTTAAAGATTTTATTTATTTATTCATTAGAGACACAGAGAGAGGCAGAGACACGGGCAGAGGGAGAAGCAGGCTCCATGCAGGGAGCCTGATGTGGGACTTGATCCCAGGACTCCAGGATCACACCCTGAGCCAAAGGCAGATGCTCAACCGCTGAGCCACCCAGGCGTCCCTGTACTCATGTTCTTTAGACAGCTGAGGAAATTCAAGGGTCCTCACTCTTAGAAGGTCAAATCAATTCCTAAATCAATTTCTAAAAGACTATAAGTAGAAAGTGGCTTGGCCAGTATTCACATCCAGGAAAGCAGACCCCAGGGCCTGGGCTTTTCCACTGGACCAGAGGTGGGACTGCAGGTCCTGGGCAAGTCCTAAAGGTAAGGTTACCTGGAGCCTTGAAATAGGAATTGATCTTCAGTAAAAGAAGGGGATTGGTGAGACGTTCAGGCCACAGGGCAGACACCTAAACTCTTTCACCACTATATAGATGAGGCAAACAGGATAAAGACACATGTGTGAATGAGTTTGGCAGATCTAGTTACCTGTCATTTCTCTGTTTTCTTTCTTGCTAACAGAACTCTGATATTGAGGGTAAGGAAAGCAACGTGTGGGGGAAGCACATTGCATCCAGTTTCTAGGGAAGACTTGTGATTGATTTTAAGCCAGTCACGGCCAAGATAATACTGTTTGCCATGTACTCACTTTTGTTGCCCCCTTTGCAGCTAGTGTGTGTATGTGGGTGTGTGTGACCAAGTTTTGGTCAGTGAAGCAAAAGAGAGATCTGTTAAGGACTTGTAAAAATTACCCTGATGGTAAGAATATTAGCCCTCTCTATCTGACTGCCTTACTGCATCTTGACTTTGAATGCAGCCTTTGAGTGCAGACTTTGATTCCTGGGGCTGTGACAGCTACCTTGTGACCATGAAGCAATAAACATCAAGACAAAAAGCTGACAAACAGAGGGTGGCAGGATGGAAAAAGCTGGCTTCTTAATATGCTTGATCAGCTAACCTAATGGCAGCAAGGACTTCTCTCCAGACTTTTTAATACATGAAAAAAAATTCCCTAGGGGTTAACATTTTCCCGTTACTTCTAGTTGACCATGTGCTGACTGATAGAATAAGCAGTGAGGAGAAATCAGGGAGGAGAGAACTTATTTGGAGCATAGGGTGATGTAAAGGCACCAGTGGGAATGTGGTTTTGTTTGCTAATTATTTTATGTGCTGTAAATCTTAAAGACAGACTCACTTTTTCTTTTCCGTGTTTTTACCCACATGTGCTTACCTAACTTCTTCTCTTTCTTTTAGCCCATATCAAGCCCACATGCACCACCCCTACTGATACGAAGAAATTTCCCCCATGTTGATTCTCACTGTACCTTTGTCAAGCTATCAGAAAATTTCCGATAGGGGGATCCCTGGGTGGCTCAGTGGTTTGGCGCCTGCCTTTGGCCCAGGGTGCGATCCTGGAGTCCCGGGATCGAGTCCCACGTCGGGCTCCTGGCATGGAGCCTGCTTCTCCTTCCTCCTGTGTCTCTGCCTCTGTCTCTCTGTCTATCATAAATAAATAAATAAATAAATAAATAAATAAATAAATAAATAAATAAATAAATAAATCTTAAAAGATTTTTTCCCAATAGGGCACAGGGCAGACACCTGAACTCTTTCATTGTACTCATGAAAACTTTCACAAATGCTTTGCTTATTTTGTTGTTTGGTGCCCAGAAGGGAAGCAGATAATTTAGAAACTGACGGTGGTCCTTTGAGAAGAAAAAAGACCTCCAGCAAAAAACTCATAAGAAATTTGAACAGGAGAGAAGGGCAGTTGTAAAAATAAAATGACGGTGGTAATGAAAGAAAAGGAAAGATACAAGGAAGTCTTTTGTATCACGGGCATTTCCATGCGTTCACAAGTTATCCTCAGCAAAGCCTCCAAGACTCCCTTCCCTCACTCACACTTTCTGACTAAATCCCAGCAGTGGACTGATATCTCTTCTATTGTTGAAGACATATATCTGAGTTATCCAATTCTAATAGCCTTCCATGGCAGCACTGTTAGTTTTCATGCATATGGCCATTACTCTAACTTCCCTTATTCCAAGTGAACAGAATCCCATTTTTAATTACCCTCCAAAGTGTGGCAGTGCTATTCAGATTAGGATGGCCTTGCAATGGCCTCAGACCCAGAGTAGGGAATCTTGTTTTTCCTTCCCAGGGATTAGTTTATGAGTGGGCTTAAGAGACAATTTTGGCCATTGAGATGAGACGGGAAAGCTGGTAGGGATCTTATGGGAAGTTTTCCTTTGCTTTCTGAAGAGGTGGGCATGGTTTTGTTTTGTTTTGTTTTTTTCAGCTTCTGGTGTATGTATGTGAAGAGATGATGCCTGGAACTATGGCAGCCTTTTTGGGACCATTAGAGGAGCCCACACAAAGGATATGCCAGTATATACCCTGGAGACCTGACTGGTCTGGGATCCCACAGGAGCAGGGTTGTCTTCTGGACTTCCATTGTCTGGTTTTGTTCAGCTCAGACTTGTTATTTCACACCTCTCTAATAAAAAAATATTTTTTATTAAAAAAATCCCTTACCAACATAAGGGTGGTAAAAAGAAAGACAAAAATAGTCTGGGTTCTTGGTTTTGTTTAGCCTCCATATTAACTGACTTTGGAAATATTCCCTTTTTGAACTTAGCTTATTATTATTAGACAGACTGATCAGTAGAAAGATTGAGGTAAAATGTATCTGGAGCATCATGTGGTGCCAGAGAATAAGGAAGTGCTTAACTGCTGCCCCTATGGGCATGTGTCAAAGGGACACCAGCTGAAAGACCTTCCAGGGTCCAAAACTGGGACAATCTGAGCAACAAAATAATTGAAGTGTACTGGATTATAACCCGAACTCTAAAATAAATGTCCAGGAGCCCATACTCATATAAAAAAGTGAACACATGAATGAGAAAGAATAGAAGAATCTCCTGTGTCGAAACATTCCAAATAATTCATGTAGATACTACATCCTCAAGGAGGTGGAGCCTATTGCCCATTCCCCAAGTGTGGAATGCACATAGTGACTTCCTTCTAAAGAGTATACCATGGAAAATGAGGAGAAAAGGATCACTTCACAGTGGAGAATCCTGATGAACATGACCTCATCTGGGGATCAGGGTCAACATCAATAGTGATAAGTCATACTGATAGCATCTACTCCTGATATGATGCGGTGAGAATGTCACTTTATCTCTCTGGTTTGCTTTCCCAAAACCCATAATCCCTTTATAATTGTGAGACAAGCATCAGAAAAACCCAAATTGAGGTATGTTTGAAAAATTCTTGATTAATACTCCTCAAAACTATCAAAATCATCAAAAACAAGGAAAGTCTGAGAAATTGTCACAGCAAGAGGAGCCCAAGGAAAAATGGTGACTAAGCATAACGTGGGATCCTGGATGGGATCCTGGAACAGGAAAAGGATATGAGGTAAAAACAAAGAAAATCTGAATAAAGTATGGACTTTAGTTAATAATAATGTATCAACACTGGTTCCAAAATCGTGACAAATTTACCATACTAATATGAGATGTTAATAATAGGGGAAAGTGGGTGGAAGTACATAGAAATTCTCGGTACTATCTCCACAAATTTTCTGTAAACCTAAAACTATTTTAAAATTCAAAGTTGATTTTAAAAAAAGAGACACACCAATATTAAGAATGAGAAAGATCCCAATCACTACAGATTGTACAGATATTACAAGGATAATATTATGAATGACTCTATGCCAGGTTGATAATTTACCTGAAAAGGACACAATTGTTAAAGACTCAAACCACTAAAGCTCACCCAGGAAGAAACAATATAACTCAGATAACTTAAATAGCCCAGTGGCTATTAAGGAAATTTAATATCTAGTTTAAAACTTTTCTACAGAGAAAACTTCACGTTCAGTTAGCTTCATTGAGAAATTCTATCAAACATCAAAAAAAAAAAACTATTGGCAGTTCTACACAAAAATTTTCCAGATAATTGAAGATAGAGGAACATTTTCCAATTCATAAGTCTAGCATCGTTCTGATATCAAAACCAGAAAAAGACATTAAAAGAAAGCCATCCCCCCATACCTCATGAATACAAAAATGCTGAACAAAATTTTAGCAAATTGAATTCAACAGTATGTAAAAGGGATAATACATCATGACTAAATGGGGTTTGTTCCAGGAATTCAAATTTGATTTAACATTTAACATTAAATTACATTGATTGTCAATCAATGTAATTTATATTAACCAAATAACAATAAAAGAAAATGAATAATACACATTAATGGAATAAAAAAGAAAAAGCATGTGATTATCTCAATAAATGCAGAAAAAGCATTTGACAAAATTCAACATCCATTCCTGATAAAACTCTCAGCAGCTGGAAATAAAAGGGAATTCCCTCAACCTGATAAAAGCATCTATGAAAATCCACAGCTAACATAATACTAATGAGAGAGAGAATGCTTCACTCTTAAGATCAGGGATGAGACAAAGGTGCCCACCACTCTATCCAACATTGTACTGGAGGTTCTATACAGTGCAATAAAGCAAGAAAAAGAAATAAATTTTAGATTGTTAAGGAAGAAGTAAATCTGAATTTGCAGATGACATGATTGTCTGTGTAAAATTATATGAAATCTGTAGAAAAGATATCAGAGCTAATAAGCGAGCTTAGCAATATTTCAGGATCAATATACAAGACCAACATACAAACTCAATAGAATTTCTACATATTAGTGATTAAAAAATCAGAAATTCAAAACTTAGAAACATGCCAATTACAAACCGTAACAAATATGAAATACTTGGAAGTCTAAAGACATGAAAGACCTATCACTGAGAACTATGTAACATTGTTGAAATAAATGAAAGAAGACCTAACTAGGTCTACCTACTATGTCCATGAATTTGAAGACTCAATTTTGTAAGAATGTTAATGATCTCCAAAGTAATCTACAGATTCAGTGCTTTACAATCAAAATCCCAGCAAGCTATTTTGGGCTAAATTGATTAAACTATTTCTAAAAATCCATATGGAAATGCAAAGAACCCAAAATAAAAGCTTCAAAAATATACACAAAGTTGGAGGACTTATACCACCTCGATTCAAACTAATTATAAAGTTACAGTAACCAAGATGCAGTGTGTTATTAGCTAAAAGCTAGACAAATATAGAAATAGAATAGACTGGAAAGTTCATAAATAGAACATTCATATATGCTCTCTGTATAGACAACTGATTTTAGAAAAAGTTACAAAGGCAATTCAGTGGAGGAGAAAGCATAGTCTTTTCAACAGGTGGTGCTGGAATAATTATACATCCATATGCAAATTATACAACTTTTAGAATGTAAAATTATACAACTTCTAGAATAAAACATGAGATTAGATCTTTATGCCCCTGAGTTAGGTGAAAATTTGTTAGATACAACACAAAAAGCATGACCCATAAGAGAAAAAAAAATTCCTCAGTTGGACTTCATCAAAATTAAGCACTTTTTAGCCTCTTGAACAAATGGTGTTGGGAAAACTGGATATCCACATGCAAATGCAGGAAACTGAACTCTCACCTTACCCCACACTCAAAAATCCACTCAGAGTGGATTGAAGAATTAACAGTGAGATCCAAAACTGTAAAACTCCTAGATGAAAACAGAGGAGAGGGAATCCCTGGGTGGCTCAGCGGTTTAGCACCTGCCTTTGGCCCAGGGCGCGATCCTGCAGTCCCGGGATCGAGTCCCATGTCGGGCTCCCGGCATGGAGCCTGGTTCTCCCTCCTCCTGTGTCTCTGCCTCTTTCTCTCTCTCTCTCTATGTCTATCATAAAAAAAAAAAAAAAACCAGAGGAGAATCTTCCTGATATAGGTCTTGGCAATGATTTCATGAGTATGGCACTAAAAGTGCAATAAAACAAGTAAACGACATCGAACTAAAAAGTTTCTGTTCAGCAAAGAGAACAATCTATGGGATGAAAAGGCAACCCATAGAGTGGGAGCAAATATTTACAAACCATATATCTGATAAGTGGTTAATCTTCATGTATAAGGAACTCCAAGAACTCAACAGTAAAACAACTGATAATTTGATTGAAAAATGGGCTGGGGCACCCCTGGGGGCTCAGTGGTTGAGGGTCTGCCTTTGGCTCAAGTCGTGATCCCAAGGTCCTGGGATCGAGTCCCACATCAGGCTCCCCGCAGGTAACCTGCTTCTCCCTCTGCCTGTGTCTCTGCCTCTCTCTGTGTCTCTCATGAATAAACAAAATCTTAAAAAAAAGAAAGAAAAATGGGCTGAGGACTTAAGCCAAAGAAGACATACAAATGTCCAACAGGTGTATGAAAAAATACTCAACATCATTAATCATCAGGGAAAAACAAATCAAAACCACAGGAGATGTTACCTCACACTGTTGGTGTATAACGGGATGGCTATTATATATATTAAAAAACAAAAACAAAAACAGAAAGATGACAAGTGTTGTCAGGGAGGTGGAGAAATTGGAAACCTTGCACACTGTCCGGGGAATGCAAAATAGGGCAACTGCTATGGAAAACAGCATGGAGATTCCTCAAAAAAAATCAAAAGTAGAAGTATTATATTATCCAGCAATCCCACTTCTGGGTTTTTTTCCCCAAAGAATTGAAATCAGGATCTCCAATGGATATTAATATGCCTGCAGCACTATTCACAATAGTCGAGATATGGAAACAAAAGTCCAACAGGTGGATGAATCGAGAAAATGTGGTATATACATACAATGGAAATACTATTCAGCCTTAAAAGGACATTTTGCAAGTTGTGACAACATGGATGATTGAGGACATTATACTAAGTGAAGGAAGCCCATCAGAGAAAGAAATAACTTGATTCCACTTACATGAGGTATCTAAAATAGTCACATTCATAAAATCAAGGAGTAGATTGGTGGTTACCAGGGGCTGAGAAGAAGGGAAAAATGAGGAGTTACTAATCAATGGGCACAAAATTTCAATCAATCAAGATGAATAAATTCCAGAGATCTGCTGTACAGCATTGTGCTTATGATCAACAACAATATATTATACACATAAAAATTTATAAACAGGGTAGATCTCATGTTACGTGTTCTTACCACATTAAATTAAAAATATTAAGAACTTTTATTCTTTATAAGCCCCTGTAAGAGAATGAAAAGACAAGGGATACAATGTTTTCAAATCATACATCAAATAAAGGTCTTATATACAGAACATGTATAGAATGTCAAAATCCAATAATAAGAAAATAATCTAGTTTTTTAAATGGGCAAAAAATTTGAACAGATACTTCACCCTAAAAGATATATGGATGGCAAATAAACCCATCGAGAGATGCTCAGTATCATTAGTATTAGGGAAATCCAAATTAAAACCACACTGATTGGGATCCCTGGGTGGCGCAGTGGTTTGGCGCCTGTCTTTGGCCCGGGGCACGATCCTGGAGACCCG